GAAACTAAAGAAAAACGGAAACTAAAATGGGGGGGGGGGTTTAATATGATTGTAAATTTAAACGGAAATAAAATAAAATAAAATAAAAAGTAATCAAATTAAAAGCAATCAACCCAAGAATTAGGATTCCAAGGATATCCATCATTGGACAAATAATTACCAAATCGCGATTGATCTCAATTGAATCAGAATCCTTATTTCTAATTGATAACCTTCTCTAAGCGATCACTTAGCGTTTGGTCGAATACGGCGCGTCTACTCGCGCAATCGCGGAGTATCAACCCGTTCGACTTGAGTTCATTGGCTTAATCAACCTAACCAATTAATCTAATGGTTAATCTCTTTCCTAAGAACGCAATCGCGTATCTCAGATTGAACACCCACAATCGCGCGATGCCAAACCGAGTGGGAAAGAGAAACGAATTTGGTTCAAAATGAGGCGCAGGTCCTCAGGATTCAACCATGGAATCCTCAACCCTTGGGTTGATTAAAGAAAAGATGAGAGAAAAAAAGACGAAAATTATATTAATTTCAAAACTGTAAAATTCAAACTCAAATGAAAGATGTTCCACAAGGTCCCTACTCTCGCCCTTTTAACCCCTAATCAAGCTGGGCTTCGGGCTCTACAAATTCAACCCAAAATAAAAGGAAACAAAACAGAATTAATAGCTCTCGGCTTTATGTACATTGAGTTCAAAATTATAACTTAAGTCCAAACGTCAAAATAAATTTCCAGCAAAACACGTCCATCTTGGGCTCAGGTTTCGACCATCTTCCTGTCCGAATTGGGCTTCAATAGCTGAAATAGAGATTGTAGCCCTATCTGTTAGCTGCAAAACGCAACAAGAACAGAGTCAATTGGACATATGTAGAGTGAGATATGGTCAAAATACGAAAGTAGTGTAAATCTAGAAAATTATGACGAAAATCAATTAAACCCAATTAAAATCTATAATTCTGATTTGACCCAAAAGACCTTTATTTAATTCAAATAAAACCTAAAAATACCAACCAAGAGTTATAAATAAGTGTAACAAAATATGTGTTATCAACGTCACTATTCACGTATACGACACTATTCAAAAATACGGTATCTTTAATTTTCTAAATATATTTTCACCGATAAAATTCTCATCTAAACACTTTTCTCAACCTGAGCTAAACCTGAATCAAGCTCTAACATGCTCATTCAAACCAAATTTTCAAAATGAAAACTTAAATTCAATCTTCATAAAAACATGAAAAAGAAGGGAATTTCTTACCACAATGCACTCTAGAACAAAGGAGAGATGAGTTTCTAAGCTCCCATGGTCTCAAGCTCCATCAAAATTCATTTTTTCCATGAAATTCGAAATCTTTGGGGGGAAGAAGATCTCTCTCTACAGTGAAACCCACCCAGAAATACTGGTACCAATGGATTTCTCTCGAAATTTCTCACAAGTTTGGCTTTGGAACGAAGTGATTTGGAGATCTCTAGCTCGAGTTATGAATTTTGGAAGATTTAAAACCAAAATTCTCTTTTCTTTCCTTTTCGTTTCTGTCAATGCCCGAATGCGCGAAGAAGAGATTGTGAATAGTGACTCGTTTGTGTCACTTATATCATTTCATTATATCAGCCGGTATAAGCTCATCTATCTACATATCTCCATTCATTACCAAACTTCACCCAATAGACTAGAATATTTTTCTAGTAATATTTCTAATTTTACTTTCACTTTTTGGATAACTTTATTTACCCGCATTTTTACCACTTAACTGACATTTTAACTCCTTTTTCACCAAATATGACTTTATTTCTTTTACTTCTAATTATTCTTCCATATTAAATCCACATCTACTAGTGAGAGTTATTATAAGTTTAGTTCATACCCAATAGGTCTTAAGTTTAGAAATTTTTGGGCTATGATTGGGGAAAGACCCAAATAGGTAGAGGGGAATTAATATATTGGATTGGTTTTCATCAACCCATCTAAAAACCGATTAATCAAATTAAAATTTGCGGTTTTTTTCAATTTTCAGTTTTTCGATTTATTCGGTTATCGGTTTTTCGGTTCGGTCATCACGGTTTGAATCGGTTTGGATCGGTTGATGAACACTCCTAGCACTAACCCTTTAAAAAGATATATATATATTTTTGGGATAAATCACATATATCTTCCATTAGAGGCAATCCTGTTCGGAACTAGTCCATGATTAAGGCTTTAAGTACCCCTCCCAAATATGGTACTAGGGAGGATCGAACACATGCTTTTATCCTCATTTACTCAGCTCCCATGCGCCAACCGAGCTACTATCATTGGATAAAACATATAATCTTTTATCCTTTGATAAAGAACCTAACTTGGATAACTTGCTATCTTCTCATTTCTCAACTCCCAAGCTTTTGCCTAGGATTAAGAAAGAAAATTTGGACTAAGTTGAAGGGTTCAACTATTATCAACACTTAATCATCGATCATTTGTGATCGTCAAACTGTAGAGTTTATTACTATCAACACTTTACATAGCTAAACATTTCAAAGTCCCTTCTATTTTTGTTTAAAGTTGTATCTATTCAGTAGTCTATATAATTTCTGATCAGTATAAACTTTAAGGAGAGGACTACCTTAAAAACATTAGTATTACATAATATGGTGCATTACAAAACATCAAACTTTAAACAATGATATTATTGAACCTTTGAAATCTATGTGAATGTATTGCAAATTTTATAGTTCTTGTGATTGAAAACATCAACATATCATATAGTTATTTGTGATGGTTCTCATGAATATATTTAATCTTTATTTGTGTATTATCTATTTAAATAAATATTCTCTTTTAAATATTTTAATTATAAATTTTTCTTGAAGTTAATAATTTAAATAATCTGTCTTAAAAATTCATATAATGTACTGGTAACTAATTAACAAATTCTTTTTTGTACTACTAAATACTAATTCACCGTCATAGTCACATATTGAAATTAAAATGAAAGAGAAAATTAATTCATCCATAGTTTTCACATAAATTTAGTATTTAAATATTTTAAATAGAAAATAAAGTATTACAATTTTGAAAATATAAATATAAATATTATAATTAAAATGCAAGAATGAGAGGTGCTTGAGCAAATTTTCTTTTTTGTGCCTTTAACATTTTCAACTTCATTCATAAACAGCCGAGAAGAAGATATAGAAGGTGGTACGCTGTAGGGACGCTGAGATTCAGGACGATCTATGAGTGAAGACATCTATCGTATCAGGGGATCGAGTCGGCTACAGCATATGGAACGTGTTTCAACAACAACTTTTCTACATTTTCTTTATCACATAAATGATTATTTTGGACGAACGTAGAGTTTCCACGTTTTGTTCCTTATAAGTAAGGGGTTTAATTTTCTCATATTCCATGTTGTGACTCAACTAATGATGGATCCCACATTTATTAAAAAATAAAAAAGGAAAAAAAATTTGCACGCAAATAAAAAGATCACAACATAAAAATTGAATTTTCATGCCACATCAGAAAATATTTTTCATGGTAGTTTAGGCGGAGTATATACAGATGATAAAGAAACACAAGCTAAAAACAAAATCTTGTAGAAAAGATATGAAGTGTGAAAGAGAGAGCTCATCAACAATGATACTCGATGCAGGTGGCAAGAAAGAAAGCGATTAGATGTCGGCCATTTCTTTTGGTTTCTCTCAAAGTTAGAAGGATTCATTTCGCATTTCCTTCTGATCACTTAACAACAAACAATATTGCCATATTGAAGATCTCTCGTGCCCTTTTTTGACTTCATGCTTTGGCCCTCCAATATTTGATGACTGCTGACTGATGAGCGATACTCAAAAATCAAAATACACTTAACCTAGTCACCTACATGCATGTTATAAAGGAGCACTCAAGATAAATGCCAGGTGCTTTCGTTTATCATATGTAATTATGGGTTCGATTTTCTACAGTTAATGTAGATAACTTGTATTAGAAATGACATTATTTTAAGACGGAAATCAATGTATTTTTATAATTATAATTTATTTCAGAGTTATAATACTTTTTAATTTTTCAATTCAAAACGACGTTATTTTTGGAACGAATGTAGATAACTTATCTACATCCACTGTAAAATCATTAAAGCCTTTAATGAGTACTATATTCTCTTTTTTATGAACCAATAGCTATAATTTGACGTCAACATAAAAAATGCATGCACAATCTGTTGTTTGAGATAGGCCAAGTCAATTTAAAGGTGTAGTCATGTACTATGTTTAGTGTCATTCATACTGCGCATTCATATGATAATTTTTATGGGTCTCGAGTTTATTTATTTATTTTATTTTTTTAATAATTTAAATTTGAAATTTTTAAGTCTATTTATATTGGTCTCGTAAATTGAGTACTGCCTTATAACAAGTATGATGAGAAAAATATAAGTAAACATGGCCGGACGTAACTATGTTGGATGAACAAGTGTAAATATGTGTCTTCGTTTTTTCTTTCCCACCTTTTTCTTTTGTTTTGCAATTCTAGCTATGTGTGATTATTGTTCAATGCCAACACTCAGGATGAGTTCATATAGTTTTGCATGTACATACTTACTGTACCGTTGTATTGCTAGACGATATGAGATTAAGCCATATTAATTATCCTATGATTATCTTTGACTTACTTATTAATCCATCACATACTTAATCCAAACTAATCAAAACAATTCATCAAATTCGTCGAATTGATCCAAATTAATAAAAGCTCCTAGTTTCTAGCATGTTTGTTTTACATTTTGCAACCCTCAACCAGGAAGAACTCTCTGAAGCATCGAATTACTTGAACATATTTAGTAGAACAACAGGATATATAGATGATTTCAGAACTCAGAAAAATGCAACGTTATCCTAGTTTACATAAACTAAGTAGAGATTGTAATCCCTGTTTTCCTTTTGCAATCAAATTAATTAATTTCCTTTGGCTTCTTTTTCAGATGGGGAATGATCAGATGCTGTGGGAAAGAATTATCGTTCAAAAGAAATTCCACAAACTTTCTCCTCCTGGCTTCTCAGGCGAGTTGTCCGACGGTGGTGGGCTCATTCTGGGCGGTGACAGTAGCATTCCCCCAGCCATGTCAACCAGCAAACTTGGCATTGCGAATATGGCTTCCTCGTCTATGAAATCACTTTCAAACCATGAAGTGCTATTATGAACACTATTATTAGTGCCATTGTTAGCGTTATCAGGCTGAGCTACATTAATTGATGCACTATTGTTGGTGGCTTCAGCTTTGATCAGTGCGGCTGCAGCAGTTGCAGCACTGCGTATGTCAGCAGGAGAATTGGATAGAGCCATTTGATACTTGTGGATTGAGTCAGGGATGTTGAGAACAGCATTGTCACCTTTCAAGGCCAACGCCGCCACGTCATAGGCTGCAGCCGCCATCTCAGGTGTTGGGAAAGTGCCAAGCCATATTCGTGAAGCCTTACGTGGCTCCCGTATTTCGGACACCCATTTTCCTCCCCGACACCGGATTCCATGATACAGTGGGTGCCTCTTGGAAGATGATGACGCCATGAGAAACTGTTTAGTACAAGGTTGTGGACTTGTCAATGGAATGAGACTTCTTGCTGCAACTTTTTGTCTGATTTTTAGTTTACTTGGAGGATTTTTATGCAAGCTAGTGTAATAGCGTCATTCGCATTTATAGTACTATAGAGGATAATTAATGAGCCTGTTAAGGTGTAATGATAATGGAGGATTTAATAATTAAGGTGAACAACATTGTTTTTCTTCTTGTTGCTGAGAAATACAGTAAAGAGAGGAGGGGCCAATAATGGTCGGCATCAAGATAGTAAGTAAAGATATATGCATTGATTACATATATCATATATATGCATGTGTGGCATGCAAGAAAAAAATAAAAAGTGAGAACGTGGGGATTTCGCGGGGTAACTGAGTAGGGACTTTGTTAATTGTTAGTACTTAATTAAAAATGGTGACGCCTAGTTGTCTTTCCTTATCTGATGTTTTGGACACTAGACTTAACAAATGGGATATGATTAATAATAAAGAAAGATATATAATTCGTAACTAGTTAATATATATGGTTTAAATAATGCAATTCTTGTAGTTGAAGATGACACGCATAAAACATGGGGTATATATAGCCGCAGTCCCACAGCAAAAGTATAGCTACTTTTAATTTCATAATGACCCCAATCTTTATTATCTTTCTTCTTCTTAATAATAGTTTCATGTTATAAACACACGTGTTTATATATAAAGCATATTTTATTTCTACCAATTTTTTTTATTTATAAATCAGCAACAAAATCGGTAGCCATATTCTGTCTAGTGACTGCTATTGCTGATTAAAATTGAACGTGGTCATGTTGTGCTTTTGCAAATTAAGTTGAGCTTGAGCACTTATAAACAGCGGAACTGTAATAAGAGTAATTTTTATGTTAATAATAGTCTATTATTTAACATATGTATAATTATGAGTTTATAATAAACAGTACTTTCAAACATAATAATAAATACTAATTTGAATACTAAAAAAATAAAGCGATAGACCACATGCTCACCTAGAAATTCTTCTCTAGAGGCTTATTATCTGATAGGAGTCTCACTGCACAATGTTTCACGCTAGAACTACGAGCAAATCCTCATCTCCTTTCTGTTGATTGATATTTTACCTAAAGTTAGGAGATGTTGATATTCCAACTGACAAAAGTTTAGGTAGTAGCTCAGTCGAGTTCCCCATTCTTATATTTTTGGTTGCGCAAGTTCCTGTAAAGAGAAAGTTACTGCTTTATGATGTTACTTCTCGTGTTTTTATATTGCCCCATAATCCCAATAAGGACACTTTTGTGTTTGGTTTCTTAATATTAGAAGGGAAGCAGCTCCAAGAAAAAGTGAAAAAAAAGAAAACATGTTTTAAATTCTTTAAAAGTGATTCTATGCGGTCAAACCTTTTTCTAAGCTTTCTCTGTACAACTGGCTTTATCGAATTTCTTTTGGCAAATATTTGGCCAATGAGGTGGCTTTTGTCCTTCCCACTATTACGGCGTACAAGCCACCAGAACTCTTGTCTACTTTCTATTCTCACACGTGTAACTGACTATTCTAACATTACTCCTTTGGTGCTCTAGATCCAATTGTCGCTTGTTTCATTTACAATTGAATGTGATTCTTTAATACACTGCTACTCAACTGTTGTATTGTGTTAAGGAAAGTCATAACGTTATGTATAATTTTTTTTGATAAGAACGTTTGACCGCATATTATAGAAAATACACATGGGTTAAGGTCATGGTAAGAAAACTTCATTTAAAAAATACATTTCCTACTCGAAATTCTTATCATATTATAATAGTCAATGTTATTAACCTCGACTCAGACAGGTAGAGGTCATTAATTGGTTCAATTAGCGAGTCATTGGTTAAGTTAGTTATCCCAAATAGTATGTGCAAATTATATTCTATACTCAAAATTTCACAAAACTTTTCAAGGAAAATATTATACTTATCATCATTTTAGGCTTACCACTCTTAATAGTTATTTGATTACTGTTGGATCAAGTTGAAATCAACGGCAGTGAATTTTCCCCCTTTTCAATCGTTAATTTCAAGTTGATCCAATGATAATCAAACAAGTAGTGAGAGTGATAAGCCTAAAATGGTGATAAGTAACCAAATAATAATAGCTCAGTTGACGTCAGGGAACTGAACATGTGGGGGTAAGATCATGTGTTCGATCTTTTCCAGTATCATCTTTGGGAGGGATTTAAAGTCTTAATCTCGGGACTCGCCCTAAATCGGACTAGTCACGAAGCGATGAACCGATTGGAATATCTCCTTAAATGATAATAAGTATAACCGCCTCCGATATTCAAATATATATATATAGGGATAAGTTATTCTACCTACCATTTTTTTCTGCCTACCTTTGTCTACCACTCTAAAAGACCATTAGATTAGAAACTTAATTAACATTTATCTTTCTCTCTCCTCTTTAGATTCTGATCTAATGATATTAAAGAGTGGTAGACAAAGGTAGATAGAAAAATGGTAGGTAGAATAACCTATCCCATATATATATGAGAAAAATATTTCTCGAGCAGCTTGAGATATATTTATCTCGTCAACCCAAAAACTATGTTGTTTATTTATTTATTTCCTTATATTAATTGTTTCAACTTTGAATGATCATGATTCCTTTTTTTCTCTCTTCCTTTATCACCATTGATCTATTTTTGTACGGTTATGATTTAGAAGCCGGAGATAAAGTTATCTCAAACAACTTGAGAAATGATAAGCTCTATATATATGTATATGTGTGTGTGTGTGTGTGTATACATATATATATATGAGAAAAATATTTCTCAAGCTGCTTGAGATATATTTATCTCCGGTCACCCTAAAACTACGTTGTTTTGTTTATTTATTTCTTTATATTAATTGATTCACCTTTGAATGGTTATGATTCCTTTTTTTCTGTCTCTTCCTTTATCACCATTGATCTATCTTTATACCGTTATGATTTAGTAGTCGGAGATAAAATTATCTCCGGCAACTTGAGAAATGATAAGCCCTATATATATATATATATTATATATATATATGTGGGCAAGTTTATCTTACACTGGTGTAAGATGATAAGTCTTACACCAAATCTTAATAGTTGATTTTCGTGCATCTAACGGTTGAAATTCATTGGGTCTTACTCACTAATTAATTATTAATTCCCAATAAATCTCAACTGTTAGATGCATAGAAATTAACGGTTAAGATTTGGTATAAGACTTATTATGCTTACACTGGTGTAAGTTGATCCTATCCCACACACACACACACATATAGAGATATTTTTCAAGTTATTTGAGATATATTTATCTCCGGTCAGCTTAAAACTACATCGTTTTGTTTATTTATTTCCTTATATTAATTGATCTATATTTAATATGATTATGATTTAATAGGTGGAGATAAAGTTATCTTAAGAAATTTGAGAAACGATAAGTCTATATATATATATATGTGTGTGTGTTGCATTTCAAGGATTTGGGTTGGTGGTAGTGGTGTAAAAACACAACACTTCACATTTTTTTTAAAAAAAATTGCACGATCCACCCGTTTAAAGAAAACCAATCGGGTCATCGATTTTTACTGAAAATCGGCCGAGTCGAAAATCGATTCTAACCAAGTCTGTTACATGTCTGATCTTTTGACTCACTCGAATCAATTGTATTATCAAATCACCAGTTATCGTTTAACCTAGCCAATTTGAACAGAGTTTAATATAACATTGATACTAATAATAGTAAAAATTTAAATCGGCTTTAAATGTTGATGTTATAACCTAAAGAAAAAACTTATAAATTAAATAAAATTTTATGTTTATGTTATGAAATAGAAAATAGAGGAATGCTATACTTATAACCTATTTTCATTTATAATCTATTATAATTATATCTTAACCATTGATTTTCGTCAATCAACGGTTATTATTTTCATAAATCAAACTCATTAATTAATTATTAATTTGTAATAAATAATAATCGTTGATTGACGAAAATCAACAGTTAAGATACGATTGTAAATAAAAATAAGTCGTAAGTATAATCTTCTTCTAGAAAATATAACTCTTAAATTTATAGTTAAATGGATAAAGTAACCACTTCACATGCAATAAATATAGCAGAACTATTTTATGTTTGTAGTTATAGAAGTCAGGATTAGAATTTAATTAGAATTTAATTTTTGACATGATTGCACCTGCACAGAAATAAATGTGATTTTTAAAAGGATTGATATTTTTCATATTATAGTAAATAATTTTATCTCCTACACATATATAAAAGTGTGTGAAACTCGTATTTTTTTTTTTTTCTTCTCTTCATATGGGTCCACATACTTTTATGTGTATATAAGAGAGAAAATTATTTCCTACAATACGATAAATATTAATTCTTTTTTAAAACCAGTATTTTGTTGTAAGTATTGGTTTGGGTAGCCAAGTTAAGAAAGCTGTTAGCCAGCTCCATATAGGATAGGTCAATCTCAGCATGGGGATCTACATGCTTATGGGGCAACATAACTAAGCACCCAATGTAATTTGGGATCTTGCTCTATCATCTAATCATAATTATGGGCTGGACAGTCCGGAAAAATAATTGAATCATATTTAAATTTCTACGCCCAATGAGAAAAAAATAAGGTTATATTACCAAAAAAAAAGTTAAATTGATCAATAAGTTTCTATACAATTTGAGGGTTTATAATTAAATATTTGCATTTCAAAAACTTCTCTTTTGACAGCTTAAACTTATACGAAAAGTCCAATCCCAAAAAACAAGGGTTTTTTTTTTACTATTTTATTTCTCGTTAATTAATTAATAATTATTTTGTTCCTTACTCAGAGCTATCCATCAATACGCTCTTCTTTAATCGATTAACTTAAAGATTTAATCGATTAAATGATCAAAACAGACAAATTCAGATTTAATCGATTAAATATCTTTTTTAATCGATTAAATATTCATCTTAATCGATTAAAAACGTATACTTAAA